GACACAGCAATAGAATTTGAAGGCTGCTCTATCAAACCGAGCACTTCAATGAATAATCTAGGAGTACAGTTAGACAGATTCATGAGATTTGAACCACACGTTGACAAAATACACAGAAAAGTAGTGGGCACTTTCTTAATCACATAAGAAACCAAACCACTACTGAAACTAGAATCATGGTTGTGCAAACTCTAACTCTAAGCATAGTTAACTGATGTTCAAATAGTAGGGGTTCGACTATCAAAACCCTGATGCAAAAAAGTACAAAAATGTCAAAACTTTACTGCCAGAGTAGCATTAGGTAATATCAGTAAACATGGTCACATCACCCCGCATATCCAAAAATTAAAATGGCTAAAAGTCCATTCTAAATGCAACTATGACACACGTGTGTTCATTTACAAACTCATTCATGGGAATAATCCGAAATGGTTAATGCCCTTCTAAACCGTAGGGAACACATCAGTTGTCCAGACACGTCAAGTAAATTCTCTTTTTTGTCAAGAGATCGAATACCAATACCGGGGCACGACAAAAGGAAATACGTGGACCCAAGTTGTGGAACATACTACCAGGTAATAGAAGAAACTTTAACATTTGTAATTTCAAGACGGAATTAAAAGAACAGCTCTTAAATAACCAACTGTAAATATAGATGTATTTATGTAAAGAATAACCATTGTAATTTTGACTTTGACTTTTGACTCTCTCTCTCCCCGCCCCCCTTCACATCCAGTCTCTCCTCTATTTATAGACATCAACATTTCCCTTCATATTTCTTTTTCGTATTTTTTCTTTCGCTCTCTCATAATCGGAAGGCAAAGTCTCGCCTCTCGTATTGTTTATTTTTCTCTTTCCAATCTCGAATCGGAGAGGCGTCGGTGGCGATAGACAGACCTCGCCCGCTCGCCCGTGAAAGGCGGAGGCGAGGGAGGGGGGGGGGCGATTCTCCGGTGACCCGCCCCCTCTTTCCTCGTGGGCGGCCTACTGGCTTCGAGGTAGTCTCTCGTCGCTTATTAGAAGACACACACACACACACACACACACACACACACACACACACACACACACACACACACACACACACACACACACACACACACACACACACACAAATAAAGTTTCTCCCTTACTTCTTATTATATCTATTACAATCTATCTCCCACCTTTATCCTGTCCCTTACATCTATCTATATATCTGTTTATTTATCTACTAGTCCATCTACATCCTCAATCCCCCCCCCCTTTCCTTTCGCCTCCTGACGACACTCCCTAAGGGTGCGAATCGTGGGGGGGAGGGGGGGAGGAGAGGAGAAAGGGAGGGATGGAGGAGGGGGAGAAAGGGAGAAGGGGGAGGAGGGGAAGAAGAGGGAGGAGGGGAGAAAGGGAAGTTGGAAGGAGGGGAGGAAGAGGGAGGAGCAGTGAAGGGGGGAGGAGGGGGAGGAGGGGGAGGGGGGATGAGCAGAGAAGAGGGAGGAGGGGGGAGGAGGGGGAGGGGGATGAGCAGAGAAGAGGGAGGAGGGGAGGAGGGGGAGGAGGGGATGAGCAGAGAAGGGGGGGAGGGGGGAGGGGTGCGGTGTCAGAACAGGCATGTCCGACTTATTGACATCGTCGTGTTGATGCCCCCCCCTCCCTCCCTCCCCTCCACCCCCACCCCCCACAAACTCCACGCACACATGCACGTTGCAAGATAGTTGCAGGGCGATGTGTGTCCGCGTTCTTGTTCTGCTGCGGATTTTATGCGGGCAGAATTTTTTGCCTTTATTTAAATCTTTTTTTTGTTCCTTTTTTTGAGAGGTTGGAACTCGGTCTGGGTGAGGTATATATATCTGCTTTGTCTCGTCTCTTTGTGTGTGTCTATGGGTTTGTCTGACTGACTGAGTGATTGTCTGTCTCTCTCTCTTTCTCTTTCTTTCTTTTTACTCTCTCTCTCTCTTTAACTTTCTCTCTCTTCCTTCATTTCTCTCTATCGATTTCCTTTCCCCTCCATCATTATCCTCCTCTTCATCATCATCATCATCATTATTGTTATCATCATCATCATTAACATTATCATTATCATCACCACCATCATCCTCATCCTCATCATTACCATCATCATCATCATCTTCATAATTACCATTATCATCATCATCATCATCATTGTCATTATCATTATCATCATAATTACCATTATCACCATCATTATCATCTTCATAATTACCATTATCATCATCACCATCATTATCATCATTATTATGATCATCATCATCATTAATTTTATCACTATCATCATTATTATGATCATAAATCATCATTACCATTATCATCATCATCAATATCTTCATAATTACCATTATCATTATTATTATCATCATCTTCATCATTAACATCATCATCATAATTACCATTATCATCATCTTTATAATCATAATCAATTATTATTATCACCATTATTTGAACTGAAAAAATTAGCTCAAGCAAAGATAAATTCTGCTTCAGTCTCTGCATTTCTCTCCCTTCGCCTCAAAATCTTTTTTCAAAGTTATTCTTTAGTTCCGGTTGTTTGTCTATTTTTATTTTTTATTTTTCTCGCCATGTTGAGAGTGAATGTTTGGCCTCCATTTTCTTTTCTTTCATTTTCTTTCCCATCTGTTCAAGACATTCTTTCCCAAAATGTTTCGTTTTCTCTCAACAGAGGTAATGATTCAACGTAACCCAGTTTGCCTTTAATATTTTTTTTTCTCTTTTCTAATCCTTCAAGTGATCTTTAAGTAGCAAAGGAAAAAAAAAATCTGTCTGCTGTATAATTATAAAAATCTAATTGACTTTTTTTTCTTTTGAATCCAGCAAGGTTTAAAAAAAAAATCCCCTAAAAGCCATCCTTTTCAAACAAATAAAAACTGAAAAAAGTATAACTTCCTCTAATCCAGACCATTTTCTTTATCTTCCAGACTTCAAGCTTCTTCAAAGAAAGCTTCCTTGATCTCCCTTTATAGAGCTTCATTTTTTTTTCTCAGTGACTTGTCTTCTCTATCTCAAGTCTTGAAGCTCCAGCCTTTTATACCCATCCGTTGCATCATAAAAGATAAGAATTATTACTGACTTGGTGATTTTCAGCATGGGTATTATTATTATTATTTTAATTATATTATTACTGAGCAGAAAATAAAAGATCTTTTAGCTGCATAATAATCTTATCATCTTTGTTCTCATAACCATTAATTTTATTGCATTATTATTAAACAACCTCTCGTCATTCTGTTACTTTGTTTTTGAAAGCTTCATAACTAGTGCAATTACTATCTCAATTCATAGCATATATCATGTAAGATTTTAGAAATAAAAAAAAAACATATATATAATTATAATTTTAAATCCTTTACTTAAGATTCTCTCTTCCAAGCACGGACACCTTTCACTGCTGTGCATTTGTATTCACACCTTCATATGTAAATCTGGATTAGCTTCACGATCACCATTGTTCTTATTTGTGGCAAAGGAAATAAATAGCATATCAGTTCTTAAAACTCTTGTCAATAAAATCATGCCTGTCATTTCCCTGTGATTCATCAGTGAATACTTTCAGATATGAAGATATTCTGGTTCTCCTTCATATCATGTGAATTCCAATGTTAAGTTCAGATTATTCAATGTCATTTTTTTGAGAGCTAATGAAACACAACCATTTCATTGAGATCTTTATTTTTACTTACTATATACAAAACATATATAAAAGTTACTGGAATTATGTACATAATATACACATAAATACACATACAACTGTGGCAAGCTCACTGTGGACGTTACAAGTCTCAGTTTGAACAGTGATGAACTTTTTTAAAAATTCTTTGTGACCAAAAAAACTGACACAAAATGACCACTTCAGCTTCCTTGTTCTGAGTTATGCCGAGGCTTCTTTGCATTGCTGCATTTCCACTCTCTGCTCCTCACATTTGTTCAGACTTTGGCAACTTGTGTACATGGCTATAGATAATGAAATTTGCAGAATCTCCGAACCAAAATTGTCTTGTGTGTGTGCGTCTGCATACAGATATACATATACATATGTATATATATGTATATAATATATATATGTATAAAATATATATATACAAATATATATATGTATATATATGTATATAATATATATATGTATAAAATATATATATACAAATATATATATATATATATATATATATATATATATATATATATATATATATATATATATATATATATTATATATAATATATAATATATATATATATATATAATATATATATATATTATATATATACTGTATATATATAAAATATATAATATATATATTATATATATATATATATATATATATATATATATATATATATATATATATATATATATATATATATATATATATATATATATACACATACACATATATATATAATATGCATACTATTACAAACAAGTACACTTATCAACATATGTATATATATACATATAAGTCTACAGACACATAGAGTTACATGTACATGCATACACACGCATGTAATGTCTCTGTGACCATCACCAGACCCAGGGAAGGTTGAAGTGATCACCATCTTTACAAGGTTACGGTGTATAAACATTGTTAACTGTGGCGAGTGGGATCACCGTCTACCAATGATATCTACGGAATAAAATCTACTCCTGCTTCATCTACCGGGTAGACACGAGTGGTAGACGACCTCTACTCCTTCCTTTCTTTTCTCGCACCAAAAGATCGGGTCACACGTCCGCCAAACACTTGTCTGTACGTGTCTCTTTGTTACTAAAAAAATGGAAGTGGCAACACTGTATTACCATGTGGATGAACTACCTAAAAAGGAGAGAACAAAGTCAACAAAACATCGTTGTGTGTAAAACCAAGAACATTTTTGAACTCCAATGTAGGCTGTGGATGGAAGGGAAGGAGTGCTTCCGCTTCCATGGGAACCCCTTCCTGGAAAGAGGGGGCTATGTATTAAATAATGTTTATATACACACGCTAGCTGATCTTCTCAGCTTAGAAAAAAAAAACATAAGAACAACTTAAGCGCTAAATCTCTCTCCAAGCACACAAAGACACACACTTGCATATATACACCTCTCGGTAACAAGGACACATGCTACAAAACAACGATGTGGAATATAGAATTTGTAGAGCATATACACAATACAATATCCGAGTCTCTTTAACTTATAACTATTTTACATAAAAAACGCTTTAGCATGCGCACAATACAACAATCATGATTATCAAAATTATCCATCTCTTGCATACAAATACCAACAAATAATGATAGAACACACACATTCTGATGGTCTCTTGCAACATGTGTGGACTGCAATCCACCTCAACTTGTCACCTGCAACATAAAGCTAACACTCACCCTAACACAACACCAAAACATGACCTCAAACAAAAGCAGAGAGATTATCAATCAATGTTTGATTTTTTTTTCTTCTTTATCCTTTTTACATACAAGGAGGTTGAACATTTTGATTCAGGAGTATTAATCCATTAATTAATAACAAAAGAACATAAAAAAGAACTTAAGGAGACTTATAGTTACTTAACATATGTACATAAAAGCAACACGACTGAGCTATGTGGAGACTTGAAAAAAAAGTCATGAATTTAACAGAATGTTTCATGAAGACCTTGCTCCATCTACATGCTTTAATGAGAGGTCGCAGGTGCCATAAGGTGGGTAGTTTCCTCTACAAGGTCTAGAGAGGTACTTCTGGCTCTAGGCCTTGGCTCTGTACTGGCACTGTCTGTACATGTGACAAAGATGGGCAGAAGAGGACATGGAAGAACTGAGAATGTACTAGTGTGTGTGTAATTCTGCAGTAGGTAGGAGGACACGTGTGTGTGTGTGTGTGTGTGTGTGTGTGTGTGTGTGTGTGTGTGTGTGTGTGTGTGTGTGTGTGTGTGTGTGTGTGTGTGTGTGTGTGTGTGTGTGTGTGTGTGTGCACGTAGTATATACTATGAGCATGATTATATGTCTGTATATGATTCTTTCTGCGCCAGCGTCACCAGACAGCCCACCGCGGGCGAGAGCCCTCCGTGAACCCCTCTCGGTCCAGCTCGCGAGATCAAGCCAACCTCAAGAGCTGGCCTTCCTCAGATCTCCGTCTTGTGCTCTTAAGAAGGGGGTCATTACGGAGGCACTGACACCTCTCAAAGGAAGTTCATGAAACGAAAGAAGAAGAAAAAGAAAAAACACAGGACGTCGGGAGCCTCTCTCTCTCCTCCCCTCGCCAGGAGCACCGTCTTGACTGCTGTGACATGACACTTTCTTCTTCCCCTTCCCCCATCTTGGGAACTGACAACAAGAGTCGAGGAGGAAGAAAGAAAAGAAGGGAAAACTCTTCGTGGGGGAGAAAACTACACACAGTCAATTAACACCTACACTGTGTTGATTCCCAAGAGCCTAATCAACATCTCACAGACACAAGGGGGGGGGGGTATGGTGGGAGGGTTGGGGGAGTAACTAACTACCTTTTGACTTCAATTACTTGAGAGAAAGAGAGCCCATGCATAGGAATGGAATCTCACCCTTATGAGCACCTATCCTTAAGGCTGAGAGTCCCTCCTTACATTTACAATCTTGGGTGACAATAAAGTGTATATATACATACACATATAAGGGTGTATGTGTGTAGTGTATACGTTTGTTTGTACGTGTGTGTGTGTGTGTGTGTGTGTGTGTGTGTGTGTGTGTGTGTGTGTGTGTGTGTGTGTGTGTGTGTGTGTGTGTGTGTGTGTGTGTGTGTGTACATATATACATATATATATGTATATGTATATATGTAGATATGTATATATGTATATATATATATATATATATATATATATATATATATATATATATATATATATATATATATATATATATATATATATGTATATATATATATAACGACATACAGACACAGCACATGTATGTGTGAACTGCGAGGATGTGCTGCCACCCTCGCCGAGAGCACAAGCGCACCTCAAGATGCACCCTCAACTAAGGAGAAACAAATTAACATATACAAGCATCCTCGTAAAATAGAGGACTTCCTCTTTAAATCTTATGGTGTAAAGCAGACGGAAGGGGAAGCGGCCGAGCTGTCCCCGGGCCTCCTTCCGTCTCCGTCTCTCCCGCCTGGCTTTATGCAAAAATAACTCCCTGGCCAGAGTCCCTGGCTTTGCAAAATATCGTCTTTCCTGCCGCAGACGCAGGCTCACGCTCCTCCGAGGCCTCGAGCCCGAATCGCACACTTATATAAAAATGAACCTGAGCACATTCATCATGTGGCGTGATAGAATTTCCTTAATCTCTTTTTATGTAACAGAATTCTCTGATGTACAATAAATCTAACATTCATCATAATATAGATCTCTGGGTTTCTATTCCTTAAAGTACGAAGCGTGCGACGAGGCTGTTGAGCGTCTCTTGTCTCGCAGCCACGACCCTCCTCCTCCTCCTCCTCCTCCTGCTCGCCCTCGGCCTCCTCCTC